AACCAGGTTTAGTGAGAAATAAATCAAAATTTACTCCAGAAGAAGGGCCGGAATAAAACGCCAGATGCCACCTGCCAAGTATTGGAAAACATACCGATGGATAACATCAACATTAATGTAAAGTCAATTCTAACAAAAGCAAAAGAAAATGCCCTAACGGAATTAATCAATTATGAAACTATATTAATAAAATAAGCAGGTAAAGGAGGTGCCGTTGTAGTCATGGACAAGAACTTTTATCAACTTAAAATTCAAGATTTATTAAGGATACTCTCAAGGTTTTAAGCAAAATTTTACCGATTTTTTATTTTTGACTTTATTCGATGGCTAACACTATGTGCCACCTCTGCATATGCTCATTTCTCCATATAACGGTACATGTGAACTTTTAGAGTGTTTTGATTGCCCGCGCACACGTGTAGTGAGCAGTAGCTGACGTCACTGATGACGTCAGAGACATACAACCAGAATTTTCATGATATTCACTAAGCCAGTATCATTCAGCATCAACCCTCCTACAGCTGTCATCTGCCAGTGATAGTTGAAATTGCCGCACGACCGAAAATAGCCCCGTTTCCCTTGTTACACACCTTGCATTTAGGCGCGTGTTTGTTGACACATAGCTTAGTAACGGCATGCAGTACACATCGTACGCGCGTTTTGCATGAAAGTGCGGTGGTAACCTCGTCATTTCTTACAATTTCTCAAGGTGCATGGAACATATTACCAATTTAGTGGTGTCAGTTAGTCATGGATATGTCGCAGTAAGTACTAACAGTAGATATTTCACATAAGTTCACCCATTTTGCACACAGGCGGTCAATCATTGTGAAAAATAGAAAAACGCTGATTTCTCCGTTTCGATTTCTGACATAGTAGCCGATGTATAAATGGATATTTCTCTGTGATTACAACTCGGATTAATTTAATTTTACACTCGTTTTAATGGTAACATATTGCTGTAAAAAATGCGCCAGGGATTTTTATTTAGTGCCGTATTTTATTAGTTATGCCTCTTTATTCGCTAAAATTTTCAATTCTAACACACAACTTGATTTTTAAGCAGTTTTTTCAATTTTTCTTGGTAAATATGAAACTTAACGAAAAATCCTGACGCACTACTTTGGTCCATATTGTGCTTAACATGTGGGAAAAATTTTGTATCCTCACTCCTTCTGGTAGTTGAGAAATATCCAAAATACCATTTTTACATAAAAATTCAAAATTTGTGTAGTAACATAATTAGGTGCTGGAAATTTCATGAAATTTTTTGGCTTGAGCATAGAGATATATCTCCTCTATAAATAAAACAAATGATTGATTCGATTCATTCGCCAATAAACGTTTAATCTTCATTAGAGCAATACCCGTCCAAAAGTTGGAGAGTATCCTTAACAAATGAAGAATTTTACAAGAAAGATTACAAAAACCAAGATGATAAAACTATGAAAAATATTTTAAAAACACATCGAAACACAAAGTAACAAGTAGAATTACAGACGACGAAGAAGGTGATCTCACCATCTTTGAGTACAGTGAAAGCAACTTCTGTTGTCTGCCCAATGTACACAAATCAGACAGAATTAAGGAGGCAATTGCTGAACAAAATTTTGAATATATTAATTACCGCTGTCCAGTAGACTTGTCATTTAGACCCATAGTTGGAGGTTTAAACTCTCCTAATCAAAGACTCAGCATCTGCCTTAATATCATTCTAAACCCATTGTGTATAAAGGTTAAAAGCTGTGTGCGAGACGACTTGGATTTCCTCGATCACCTACCACAGGAAGTAACAACTGGCTCGAAACTAGTTACACTGGATGTCGTCTGTCTCTATAGCAACATAAGGCAGGACCTCGGGATCCAAGCGATTGAATATTGGATAGACAAATACACGGAAGAGATTCAACGTAAGTTTATGAAAGAATTTATAATTGAAGCTCTAAAATTGGTTCTCGAAAGTAACACATTCGCGTTCAACAACGAACATTATCAACAGGTAAAGGGCACTGCAATGGGGACCAAGGTCGCCCATTTACGCGACGCTAACATTAGGATTTTTAGAAGAAAAAATGTACCAAGAAGTAAACTAAAAGTGGCGGCAAGAAACAAATTAAAGAACCATTTTGAAGGAAAATGAAAGAGCTTCTTAGATGATTGTTTTTATATGGACTAGAGGAACTGAAGAAATAAAGAAAGTTCCTACAGATTCTACACAACCTAGATCAAAATATCTCATTCACACATGAAACCAGCGAAACGGACCTGTCTTTCCTGGAGCAATGGTGAAGAAGAGAGAGAATGAAATATAAATAGATGTATTTTATAAGCCAACAGACACTCACCAATATCTGCATTTTTTTATCGTGTCATCCAGGGCATACTAAACGAAGTATCCCGTATAACCTGGTCAGATGAATTTGTACAATTGTGAGTGACAGAGAAGTTCAGAAAACGCGTTTGAAAGAACTAAAAGGATGCCTGGAACAACAGCAATATTGCACGAGAATTACCAACGATGCTATTGAAAAAGCACTCGTACTAGACCGGGAAAAACTATAAAAAATACCAACAAGAAGGACGCGTCGAAAAAAAATCAGCAATGACTCCACTAACCCTCATGAGAAGGGGTGTTTTAAGAGGGATTCCAAGAGGGATTGGGAGAGGAAGGCTACTTCATTAGTATTGTAAAATGCTTACAGAGGCATTAACACTAATTTGAAATTAGTATTAATAGAATTCGAAGTTAATAGAGTAGTTATTAAAGAAATTAACGTTGAGAATAAAACGTAAAATTAGTATTAAGGTAGTTATATAAAAGAAATATAATTAATAAAGCGTTTAATGATTTAACAATTAAAGATAAGGTTTAAAGTTTAAAGTTTTGAAAATTGTAAAAATAAAAATCAGAATTGTTGTTTAAAATATTATTATTGTTTTATTTGACATGTGCCACGGTACTTCTGTAATAGAATGATGCTTAACTTTATTTCTTTTCTTAACTTTCAATAATTTCTATTTGTTAATTGTGTTCCATCTTAATCGTTCTTTTGACATTACAGTTTTGAAATCTTTTCTTTCTTCTCTTCATCTTCTCGTCATCTTTCTTCTTTTTATCTTTCAGCTCTTCCATCACTCCACGTGCACAGCGAACATATGTCTTCGTCAACATTTTGCAAGAGCAGCCGGGAGTCTGCATTAACGATGTTGCCATCGTCTGATTGGATAGGATGAAATGTAAACACGTAGTTTACAAAAATGCTAACTCCGAATTTGGAATGATAACAGAGAAGATTGAGCGCCGTAGAACAGGCTAGCGATCTCATTGGTGATATATATATATATATATATATATATATTGTAAAACTATATATGCATGTGTTGACGTGTGTGTGTGCGCGCGCACACGTGTGTTGTGTGCGTGTGTGCGTGTGCGTTAACGATGTTGCTATCGTCCGATTGGATAGGGAGAAATGTAAACAGGTAGTTTACAAAAATGCTAACTCCTATGTAAAATTATGAGACCAGTCTATTCGTATAATAACAGAGTTCTAGTAACAAAAAAACATTTACACAAGCCGTGGGTAACAGAAATCTCTTCTTGAGCTATTGGCCTAGGGTTTTGTTGTTTATTTTGCTATCTTACTTAAACTGCAATTGTCTTAACTTGGAGTTAACTTTTGTACTTTCTTAACGTATGAATTCTTTCGCTTTTGTTGAAGAAGTAATCTTTCTATAGACCCCTTGCACGTGACGTCATCAAAACAAAGGCGGCCATGTTGGCATCATTGGTGCGACCGTGCGACGTGGTTACAGCGTGGAAAGTTCAGTTTAGAGAGATCTCCAACATTTTCACACGAAAATGGTGAATTATTGTAGGATAGCGGATGTACTAACCGATCTGATAGGGAAAAGGATAAGAAATTCTTTCGACTACCTGCTGTTATAACTAATCAGGGAGAACATGAGAAGTGTATCACAGAGGAGAGTGGCGTTCACACCCAGACAC